AGCTTCAGCTCCAGCTCCAGCTCATATGCATGCCGGACTGTTGGCTCTTGGCTCTTGGTGCTTGCCTCTTAACCATCAGCGTCTGCTCAGCCTTCAGCCTTCAGCTCGGCTGCGTCTTCGTCCACGTCTTATCTCGCAAAATTTGATCAACGTTTTCGCAATTCGGGAGCTCCGCCCCGAAGGTATTTTCCATAAATATTCTTCTCTTCTTCTGGCCAACAATTTCTTGCTGCCTGCTTCAGTTTTAGCTTTTTACTTTTATTAGTTGTTGCTGTTGTTGTTTTAGTTGTTGTTGTTGTGCTACAAATAAATTAAAATTATGCATGCTTAGGCATGGGAACTCTTTTTTTTTGTTTTTTTTTTTTTGAGCTGCAGCTTCATGGGAAAGTCGTTTTTTTTGGCAAACAAATAAATTTGTGGGCGCATTTGTTGTTTATGTGTGGGAGTTTCACTTAACGGGCTTTAAACTTGTCTACACCATACTTTAAATAATTGACAACTAGCTGTAAATATTGACTGAGTAGAGTATAGAGAGGTCGTGTTGCATAATATATGCATAGGTCAGAAATAACTTATTGTTGGAATTTGCACTCAGTCATAAATTAGCTAAGAAATATTTAATATATATTTTGTATTCATGTGTTTCTTAATTATATTTAATAATTTAATTTATCTTATTTTTAATTTAATTTTATTATTTAGTATATTTCTATTATTATTATAATTTTTTAAATTAATTTTTTTAATTTGGGTTTTAATCTAACTGCAAGACCCGTAATCAATAATTAAATAAATAATTGCAAGAAACATATATTATAATGTTTTCATAATTATTTCTAATTTTCCAATAAATGCTGTAAATTTTTGTTATATTTTTTTTATAGAAATTTGAAATATTATTATTATTATTATTATTATTATTACTATTATTATTATTATTACTATTATTATTATTATTATTATTATTATTATTATTATTATTATTATTATTATTTTTATTATTATTATTATTATTATAATTATTATTATTATTATTAGTATTAGTATTAGTATTAGTATTATTATTATTATTATTACTATTATTATTATTATTATTATTATTATTTATTTTTTTTATTTTAATATTTAAAACTTTGATTTACTTTTGTAATTGTTGTGGAAATTAATTCATTTTATATTTAAATTATTTAATTTATTATTTTTTATATATTCAAAAAGCTTGGCTCATTCCAAATTTAATTGAAGTCAAAATATTGTGCCCAGTGCAAACTCTTTTATATATAGAGAAGCATTCCAGAAGCTCTGAGCTGTTTTTTTTTTTTTAATATATCTACACATTTCATTGGATTCAATGAATTACTTCGTACGGCTGTTTACCTTGACGATGATATCCGTTACGCTCCGAACAATTCACAATGGGCTTCAGGTAGCATTATGCCTATCAGTCGGCCCTCAAATTGCTACTGCAGCTGTCTCTGTCGCTCTCGCTCTCTGTGTAAGACGTGCGGCTCATCTTCATTTATCATTTTGAATAATAATCAAATCATAAAAGCGACGAATGAGGCCCGCGTCAAAGGCGTCAGCCGCATCAGGCGAACAGACAATCAGACAATAGACGGGAGGCAGGGAAGGTGGAAGGCGGCGGGGAGGGGGACTGAAGACTGGAAGACCGAAGATTCGAACCTCGAGACTGCAATCAGTGGCGAGTTGCGAGTGGCGAGTGGCGAGTCAAAGAACCCAACTTTGGGCTGGGTTATTAAAAAGGAATTTGCATAAAAGGCACGAGTTCTCATTTTCTCTCTTCTTAGACTAACACAAGGATTAAGCAATAAATAACTGAAAGGGGCAGCAGCGGGTTTGCAGAGGTAGGAGGGGGAGCTCGCAACAATTTCCTATGAAATTATATTCAAATTAGTTTGAAGTCTGCCGTCTATACAAATGGCATAATTATGGAGCATGGAGCCCCCGAAACACACAAAGCACTCGCGAGCACTTGAGATTATGCTAAATGCCAAATGGATGAGGTGTGCTCCCAGCCTCAGCCTCAGCTTCAGCATCAGCTTCAGTCTCGGCTTCAAAGCTGCCTCCGATGCTGGGTGCAGTGGCTGCCACAACGGCGCTCATCAATTATCCACGTGCTTACAGCTCTGGCAATTTGTTAGATGTTTTCTATGCTTCTGCTGCGGCGGGGAACTGACGGGGAGCACACACTTTTGACACCTTTTGCATGCCACACTCAGGGGCCGTACAGGGGCTGGGCCGTAGCCAACACCTCTTGACGTGATTATAACAGTTTTACGGTTAGTTATTAATGATTCGCTATTCAATAGATACAAAGAACTTTTTACCAACTACCCGACTCCCTCTTCGGCTCCGACATGATAATTAGCATTGGCACCTCATCTGCCATTTCTAGCTGAATGGATAACATTTACAAATTTTGAGTAGAGAAAGTGAAAAAACTACATTTTATAATTTATAGAAAATGAACAGAAAAATTAAGCAAGATTTACAGGTCAGTAGGCCTTACTTGAAACAGTGAGAAGCGCATAGGAAGGCGATAGACAGAAACTAGGAGAGATAGAGAGCGAGAGAGAGGGAATGAGAGAGCGGGGGATGAAAAGCATTGCAAAATCAAGAAACGTAGAAATAAGAGAGTGAGAACACCGAGTGACTGAAATATTTGATTGCATGAGAATCACATAGAAAGGCGAATCAGTTATAAACCATGCAATGTGAAGGAATACTGTAGAATATTGTCTTAAAGGACGGATGCCTTTCTTATATGCATTTCTTAAACAAATATTAATGTTCATTTAAATATATAAAAAAATGCATTTAATATGAGAGCAAAAGATATGAACAAAAGTATGTCAATGTTAAATAGGGGGAATAAATATTAAATTATATTTCTACATAAAGACTTGGCTGGGTAGTCGTCGGAAACGTGAACTTAATTCAACTGAATGAGCTTTAATTGATGCTCAAACAAAATTGGGGGAATTGCAAATTGTTTTTGGCCTGTGAGCAATAATTAAATTTACATAACGATAAAATTTTTATCGCTCTATATATAAATAAATATATATATATATATTTAAGTAGGCGACATGCGATATTTATTTAAATGATATCATTTCCTGAGTTCGTTTCCGAAACACCTCGCGGCATGTTGTGCTATGTAAATTCGTGTTTGTGTGTGTGTATGTGTGTGTGTGTGTGTTTGGGCGGTGTCCGTCAACAATCAAGTCATTTATCAGAGGCACAACAAATATTCAAAACGTGGCCGTAGAATACACTCGTATTATGCATGCGATGCCATGTCAGCGAAGCTCCTCTTTTGGTTGCCCTAAACCAACAAATATTGCGTGCAGACATAGGTTATAATTTCATGAAGAAATTCAGGGGCAACGTTGAGCTGAGTGAAAGAGGAAGCACAGAAGTCGAGCAGACATTTGGACGGGCCAAGAGCAATCGCAACAGCAGCAGCAGCAGCAGCAGCAACAGCAATGGCAATCCCAATGGGCGCGTTGGCGGCCAACACTCGAAATCATGAAATGATAATAATGATGTTTTAGTCAGAGACAGAGAGAGAGAGGGTGGAAGGAAGGGAGGGGGGGATCGAGAGGGGTCGTGGAAGGGGTAGACGGAAGTGCAGCAGCAACGTGTCTGCTGATGAACCTCTAATGATAAGTATGAAAATGAGTTCGAGCCGCAGATGACACGACACAGTCCGAAGAGAGTAGGGAGGGAGGAGGGATGGGGAAGGGGGCTGTAGTTTCATTTATGAATGAAGCTGAAGGCCGCATAATAAATCAAAAGACACACACGTTGCCGCTGAGCAGATTCAAAGCAGGAGCGTGACCAGACAGGAAATGGAAATGAGACTGCAATAAGCCCCACCAAAAAAAAAAAATAACAGTAGAAACTGCGATGCCCATGTTAAAGTTCATGTCAAAATTTAACTGGAAAATTTTTGAAATGGAAATTGAGAAAATTAGCGGGGTAAGAGAGAGGGACAGAGAGCGAGAGTGGGAAAAGAGAAGACAGAGAGAGAGAGAGAGAGAGGCAGAGGCAGAGGCAGAGACAGAGAAAGGGCAGAGAAAGAGAGAGTGAAATAGAGGGAGACAAAGAGAGAAGAGAGAGAGAGAGAAAGACATGCATAGAAGAGCTACACGCTAAGAGGCTTGACAAGCAGTTAAAAAATCTTTAAAATTAATCGGTTTGATTTTAAGCAACATAATAGTGATGCCAAGCTATCGATAATAATACAATCGTTAATCGATATTTCGAATAATCAATGGCTTCATCGATAGCCGATGGTCAATATGATTGATAGTTCGATTGCCGAGAGAACTTACTATCAATAGCTACGATATCTCCAATAAATACTTCATATCAAAAGTGTCGATTTTATATAGTGAATAATCAATACTAATGATAGTTTCTAATGTCGATAGATAATCCTATTAATATCGTTTCTGATAGAATTTCCCTGACTGGAAATTAAATCATTTAATTCTTTCGACTACCCAATAGTTTCGATAGTCCATTATCGATAGAATCTATAGATATCGATAGATAATACTATCAATAGCCAATCGTTAAAAACGACTATCAAATGTCTATAAAGTCGATAGTCAATATCGATATCGACAGATTTGATTGTCTTCAGCAAATACTGCAACAATTATAATATCCTTATTTTCGATTATCGAACAAACGGATCTATCGATAATCTACATCAATATTATCAATAAATTTGTAATATTTCCCAACTTGACAACCCTATCATAAGATAAGATTAAATAATTTAGCATGTTGTTCAACTATTTATTTCAGCTGAATGGCAAACTTTGGCCAACTTTGGCCAACATCTTAAACACACCGCGCACAAGGCACTCTCTGTCGGAAATCATAATATACATATGTACCTGTAGCTGTATCTGTACCTGTATTTGTATCTGTATCTGTATGTTAAAATCAACTTCAAAACTTACCGCCTGCATTTTGCATGTTGTTGTCGTCGTCGTCGTCGTCGTCGCCGTTGTCGACGTCCTCGTCATTGGCTTCGCTTGTTGCTGGCGCCGGCGATGTTGCTGCCGATGCTGGCTGCGATGTTGTTGCCTGTATTGTTGTTGTTGTTGCTGTTGCTGTTGTTGTTGCTGTTGCTGTCGCCTCGGGCGCTGCATCATTTTGTTGTAATGCGACTAATGAGGCGGCAAAATTGACGTGTTGCTGCCGCGTGAAGTCGAACACAGATGCAGCAGCAGCAGCTGTTGCTGTTGTTGTTGGTTTTGTTGTTGGTGTTGGCGATGGCGCTGGCGATTGAGTTGTTGGCTCGCTTTTAATTGCTGCTGCGGGGCAGCGCTGCTGCCAGTACTCGGCGGTTATCAAATGCTGCAGACTGTGCGTAGGCAAATGCTGGCCAAACAGATTGCTCAGATGTTGCAGCGGGCTGTTGCTGGCGACATGTTGCTGCAGCAGCTGCTGTTGCAGCAGCAACTGCTGCTGCTGCTGCTGCAAGTGTTGCTGCTGCAGTTGATGATGTTGCTGCTGCTGCTGCTGTTGTTGTTGTTGATGATGATGATGATAGAGCAGCGTGGCTGCTGCAGCGCTGTCGCTGGCATCGCTATTCATTTTGTATTTGGTTGTTGTTGTTGGCGTTGACATTGTTAGTGCTTCCGCTGTGGCCAGCTGTCGAATGCCACGGCTGCCGCTGCTGCTGTTGTTGTTGTGACTGCTGCTGCTGCTGCTGCTCTGATTTGTGTTGCAAGCGTTTTTGTATTCAAGTAACATGCCGTTAATGCTGGCAGCCCTAGCAACCTGCTGGCGATGCTGCTGCTGCTGCTGCTGCTGCTGCAACTGTTGCTGCTGCTGCTGTTGCTGACGATGTTGCTGCTGCTGTTGCTGTTGATAGTAGTTTGCTAGCAACAATGGCATAATCAATGTTTACAGCTAACTGTGACAGCAGCAGCATACACAACATATACATAGATACAAGCACAATTTACTTTGCCTTCAACAATTCCAGCCAGGCTTTTTTGTTCTCCCTTTTCCGCAACGTTCACAAGTTGGGTCAATTGGCCGGCGACAACGTCTGCAATTAGCCAAAGCATATTACAATTATTTAGTTTTTCGGGCATGTCAAGTGCTGCAACATGGTGTTTATATAATTCAAGCTACCCTTTATTTTAATTAAAAATGTAAGTACCCGAAGCCCATTTTGCAGCTTAGGCACATTTCTAAGAAGATAAAAATATACTTTTTTAAACTTAGAGATACACAAGAAATACCTTGCCATCGACTGACTGACTAGAATATACCCTGTGCCAGGATATGAAGTGCTTTGATTTTAAATCTGTTCATCAACTGCTTTTAGTTAATTTTCTTATAATTCCTGGATAACTTTTTGTTCATTAATTCTGTCTAAATACAGTTTTGAGGATTGAGAATCAGGATAAAAAAATTCTATATACAAAAATTTGTAACTCTTATAGTTCCAGAGATCTGAAGGAATTAAAGCTAAAAAGCAGAAATATGAAGTAAAAATAAATAGTTCGACTCGAGTTTTAACATTGATCCACAATAAATATATTTCTTATTAAATTTACGCTTCTATCCTAAAAACTTTTTGAATATTTTGGAAAATTAAAAATCTATATATTTACATACTATAATATATCAATATGCTTTATAGAATCATTTATGTATACTTCCATTTATTCAAACTTTCGAATTCATTCGAATTCAAACTTTCTAAACTTCATCAGGCTCTTAAAATATATAAGTTGTCAAAGACTCTTCTCCCAGCTGATACCCCTCAGCTCAATTTCTAATGCTTACAGGGTATCGAAATAAATCACAAATAATCACAGTAAAAAGAATTGTAATTTATGCAAACTCATCGCCAAGTTTGATGGACATGTGAACACCGCGAACACATTTGCCATCAGGTTTCAGTTAATCATCTCCGTCTAAGTTTTTGTCATTTTAATTAGTTCAAATTCGGTGTTTATTTAGTTTTCGGCCTAAGCATAAGTCGCAGCTCGCGCGACTCTTTTCATATTTTCACCTGGCAACAACAAAAGGAAGAAGATGAAGTAAAACAACAACGTCATGACTTTGCGCCAAATTATAATCAGAAAACGTCCAATCATCGCGTTCTTCCCCGCCTCGGTTTGGCTTATCGAAACAGTTTTAAGGTGGCAAAGGAATTGGAGGGGGGGGGGGGGGGGCTACAGGTGAGGCCGTCGACAGGGCGATTCAAAGGTAGCTGTGAAGCAGGGCAATTGAACTGAATATACATAATCGCTAGAAGAGTCAAAAAGTACCGAGCTTTGAGCCACAACAATACGAAAAGCGCTGTGCTATGATTTTTTAGAGAGCATACACTGCGAAAAACAGTTGATGTGCTTGACAAACTAGAGCTGAGTTTCGAAAACTAAAAGCTGCCCAGATTCTTTGACACTGCGCGGCCAGATTCTGCTAAACGTGTTTTTAAAGTTTAAAAAGTCAATTCGTTCCTTAACTGATCTGGCAACTCTGTGGTGTCTGACATAAGTGAAAACGTATAAACTTCATACTGAGATACATTTTATAATAGTATACTAAGTTTATTATACTTATTTATAATAAACACAATCGAATGCTTTACAAATTTTACAAGCCTTCGAAACTTTTCCTGTTTTTTCAATGATATGGCAACGCTGCACAGCCACATATATTTTATCTTTAACTTAATTAAAATTCACGTTTAAGATGTACTTGAAGTCAATGATGCATAGTTTTTGAATTTCTATTGATATGGCAACTCCAAAGATCGCAGCTGATCTGGCAGCACTGCGCCAACAGATGCAGCTTTTGACTGCTTCTCAAGATAAACTGTTGAGTTCAAAAGTAAATTGATTTGAACTTAGTTAATATATTTCTTAGTCACAATTATTTTGCATAAATTTCTTCGAGTGTCTGAATTGATCTGGCAACTACGCACAATGGTCGTCGCATTAAATGCCTCAGCTCGACGCCGAGTCGGCACATTGAGCGACCGGCATTATAATTACAAGTCATCTACCTGATGTTTTTGACCATTTAAGCTACAAAACACGAACAAAAAGCCGTCAAACAGTAGCCGAGAGGGAGGGCGAAAGAGAGAGAGAGAGAGAGGGAGACGGGGAGAGGCAGTTGGCAGCCGGCAGACGGTAATCATATAAGAATAAATAATAATCACACAATAAATATGCCTCGCCTAGAAGAAGCAGCCGAAGATAGCAACAAATTTCCATTCTTGTATCGACATTAACGCGCATAATTGTTAATACCATTTAAATGTGCGTAAAACTCTGCCCCCAAGTCATGTTCCATTATTAAAAAGACACCGAAGACGATTTTAGCAGGAAGGAAGAGCTCTATACTCTGAGGGGAACTGCAGCGGAAATTGTTGTTGTTGAACATGACTTGGCCTATTTCTTTTTTAGATTTTCTCCAAATTTAACTAGTTCAACTCCGAACTTTAAGAGCATTATCATGCCGGGCCACATATCAATTGGGAACGAACTGTTGATAGAGTTTACAGTTTAAGCAGTCGCAATATTGAAAGAAATTATATTAATGAACTATAACTTCGAATTTAGTCTGTTAACGTGTTAACGTGACCATGAGTCAGCGCTTGAAATAGTTGTGCTTATGAATGAATGCTCTGTATTTAAAAATAAATATGAGTTTGGACTTCACCCAGAAGCTCTGTAAACACAGCTAGGCGCAGTGTGAAACCCAACAAACTTTACATTTCGATAACATTTCTTATTAATATTTGCTGTTATGTTTGCGATAACATTTCTTGTTAATATTCGGAATGTAATGCTTAGCAGCAGTTGGCGTACTGTTAGGAATTTGCATATGTTATGTTAACATTAACGTAACAGAAAATTCAAATTATGTGAAGTTAAGATATATTGAGAATACTTTATCAAAAGCCAATTAAAATTAACATCAAAGAGGCAGAGATTATGCATATGTTTAAAAAAAGTAGTAGAATAAATGGGGGCTGGAAAATGCTGATAATTGCGATTAACAGAATGTAAGTGAGGATAAGAAACAACAAGCACTTGCCGGATACCGAATATTATATACCCTTGCAAACTTTTAATAAAATTGCATTGTATACAAAGTTTAAGATTATATATACTTTATGGGGTCCATGCTATTGCCTTTACACTTAACATGATGCACAATGTAAGAGTATAAAACACAGATAAGATCCTAAAGTTTGTTATCGCTTAAGACTACTGAGAATATTACCAACTGCCCTAGGCTAAGCTCAAGCGCAACAGACTTATAAGGCATTTCAATGTGACACATTTCAAGTAGCAGAGCTCGCAATAACATGCTGTTCGAATAACATTCTGAGCAATGTAAATAGGAATTGTGTTATGCGATTATGTAAAGCTTAGTTACAAAGTGGTTTGCACAATGTCTATAATAGAGCTTTCAAATAGGAATTATACCCATTTTAATATGGGTATAATGTGGTATATAAATTGAGACCAAGCAATTACCAATTACTAATGATAATTGGCGCACCTTAGCTGATGACTACTGTATTTCTATGACTTGCATTTGCCTTGAGAGTTTACCATAAATTTATAGCGTAAATTGTATGGCACACACACAGATACACTCGCGCTCTTGTCCATAGTTGTATGTAAATATTGATAAGATGCATGGACAGGTATACAAATAGTAAAGTGTAAAAAAACGATTGAGAGATTGAACGATTGAGCGATTGAGCGATTGCAGAGCGTGACGACGGCCTTCTGCAAATCGGAGGGGAGTTCAGGGCAAGTAAATATATATATATATATATATATATATTTCTTATACAAATATGCTTATTTGTAGTTTTGGACAGGGCGATACATTTAGTTGCGGGGGCTTAGGGCAAATTTGATTGTTGTTTATCGGAATGACAATAAATAGAAATACTTGCTCGATATTTTTAGCATGCTGGCTTAAAATGCTAATTGAAATTTAGCTTTAAAATTCCACGTACTGCGCATAAATATTGAATATTGAATTATTTTTAATGCATGGCCAAACACAGCAGACACTTTCTGGCTAGCGCCAATCGATATATGTCACAATACGTAAATATAACGAAAATCTCTTTCGCCCCATGAATAATGGGACAGCGGCCCCCATTTGGCGCCCCATCCGTTAAGTTCCAGCGAGAGACGACTTAGCGACGGACTTGGCACCCAGCCAAATGGGGCATGAAACAATTGTGACTTATGCACTAAGACAAATTAACCCATTTACAGTGTGCACAGCTTAAGAGCTACTCAATAAACAAATTAACCGATTGGCCCTAAAAACAAAAAAACAAATATCAAAAATGCTCATTAACAATTTCTCGATATGCATAAATGTTTATTTAAATTAATTCCCATGCGGCTTTTATCGACCTCGTTTCTTAACAACAAATGATTAATTACATTTTTTTTAATATTATTTTCTTTCTTTCTCTTTCTAGGTGTGTACAAAATTACTTATACATTTATGGGAGCAATTTATATTGGACTTTCAAATTTAAGAACCTTTCTGTTCTTTAAATATATTTTATTATTTTTGCAAATATCCGTAAGTACATATAAAATAGCCTAGAATTTAAATCAAGCGCTGAGAATCGCTTGGATTAAATATACAATACTTATTACAAGAATTCTTATACTTAAAATAAGTGTGTCATGTACTTAATGGAAGTGCAATATTTTTTAGGTCAATTATTTATACATTTAACGTAAGAATTTTTGCCCAAGAAATTTCCTTTCTACTTGATTTAAGCAGAATATGCTTGAGCATAGCTCAATTTAAACCTTTTTGTTCTTAAAATGTGTTCGATTAATTCTGAAATATTCCTAAGTTAATATAAAAAATGCTGGAATTCAAATCCAAACCCTGTAAAAGGCTAAGATTAAAAACAAAATATTTTTTTTCAAGAATTTCAATACTTAAAACAAGTTTCAGGTGTACTCAAGTACAATATTTCTACTTTAAGTCGGGTATTTAGGAATTTTTTAAAGTACGAATTTATACTTAATT